GAATCGGTCACATGACCTGGAAGGCATTGAAGAAATAAGCTCATTTTTCCATCAAAATATCAATCAAAATTAATAATCAAATTAATAATATAAAATATTTAAAGTATTAAAATTAGGGCTGTCAGTCGATTAAAATAGTTAATCGCGATTAATCGCAAATTAATCGCACATTTTTGATCTGTTCTAAATGTACCTTAGAGGAATATTTTTCAAGTTTTTAATTCTTATCAACATATGAGTGGACAAATATGCTTATGCTAATGTTTATTATCATTTGAACAATGACAAATATTCTCATGAATATTAAACACAACAACCTCTGAACATTACAAATATTCGACTCAATTCAACCTGGAACCTCTCATACAATACAAATGGTGTGTGTGTGTGTGTGTGTGTGTGTGTGTGTGTGTGTGTGTGTGTGTGTGTGTGTGTGTGTGTGTGTGTGTGTGTGTGTGTGTGTGTGTGTGTGTGTGTGTGTGTGTGTGAGAGAGATGGATCGTTGGAGCTATGTGCAAGTCAAGGCATATGCTCGAACGGGAGCTGCCTGGACGCTGTGATCATGTTGCGCGCACTATCCGTGCTGAGTGTGCTGACTTCTCGTACAATGTCCCACTGTCTGGCTTCCTGCCTAAAGTCAAGTGCTCGGCGCAGTTGTCGGCGAAACGTCGCTCCTCTGTTTTCATTTAAACAGCTCCTTATATCCGTTAGCGCAGCTAGCTAGCACCAGATGCTAACAACAACAATGCACGTAAGGTCTCTCTCTCGCTCGCTCGGGCCACACATACACACACCCTCCCGGTCCTCCCAATAGCCAGTCGGTGCCTGCCGGTGAGCGTGGAAGTGTGGTCTGCCACAAGCGGGCGGCAGGAGCGGGGCTGTCAGCATCAGCTTGTAGATGGTATTTTAAACTCGATGCGCTCTGAAACTACGGGGCGGCCAAGGAAAAAAAATACACATGCGTTAACGCGTTAATAACGTTGAGAGCCCTAATTAAAATGCAATAAAAAGAGGTGTGTCCTATGCAGCCAGGGTAGTTCTTTGACCCAGCATTGATTTTGAGTGAATCGGACACATGACCTGGAAGGTATTGAAGAAATAAGCTCATTTTTCCATCAAATTAATAATATAAAATATTTAAAGTATTAAAATGCAATAAAAAGAGGTGTGTCCTATGCAGCCAGTGTAGTTCTTTAACCCAACATTAATTTTGAGTGAATCGGTCACATGACCTGGAAGGTATTGAAGAAATAAGCTCATTTTTCCATCAAAATATTAATATAAAATATTTAGAATGTTCAAATGCGATAAAAAGAGGTGTGTCCTATTCAGCCAGTGTAGTTCTTTGACTCAGCATTGATTTTGAGTGATTAGGTCACATGACCTGGAAGGTATTGAAGAAATAAGCTAATTTTTCCATCAAATTAATAATATAAAATATTTAAAGTATTAAAATGCAATAAAAAGAGGTGTGTCACGTTTGACTTTGTTGTAGTTAGAATGTAACCAAGACTTCATACCTTTTGTACTTTTGTGACGAGTCTGCATCTGAGCCTAAATCTGTCATATTCAAAAAAAAAATCGTACATCCTTCCCATGATTGAGATCCACTTTAAATTGTAGGTTTTTCCTTGCCTAACACTACTTTCACCAATTTTCATGAAAATCAGGACAGTAGTTACTCCATAATTATGTCATTAACACTTCCTTTATAGCTTTGTGCATGTGGGCATTGTTCAAACATGACAACCATAAACCATTTAAGCTACCCTCAAACCATAAGCACACAACATGGTTTCCTAAGGGTTGTCCAAATAAGTTTGGCCATGTAGTGTGTCATTCTAACATGTAAATAAGGATAATCAAGTTGTTTCAACAGAAAAGCTCCAACATCTTGTGGTCCTTTTCCAAACTTTCCAAAATGACCTTGCCATCCGCTCACCAAACTATTTCATTATTTGATATCTTATCCACGATCAATCCGGTAATATATCCGAAAAAAGATTCCTGGTCATTATTCATCTTTAATGAAAGGCCTAATAACAACAGACGACTAGAGAGCTGAGACACTGAGACGACCAATGTGTCTTTAACACAAGAACAAGGCTTTAACTGTACAGCGCTGACATTGGAGAGTGCAGTCAAGGGCACTCGTACAATTCACTGTGAAGTGAAGAGAGAGTATGAGGCAGGAAAGTGAACAGTGATGAAGGATTCTGTGTTCCTCTGTGTTTACGGCTTTCTGTTGATTTGTGTTTGAGATTACAGTATGGGGCTCATACCAGAAGTCCCCTGAGTAAGGTGGGACATGTGAGTTGTTTAATATCAGTCATCCTGGTGAATGCATGCACCAGTTGCAGTTGCATCAGTTCAAAACATGTGTGCAGGAAGATCAGGTTTATTTCTCTGAGATTTCTCATCTACAAATATGGCAATAAAAGGTACAATGTGTAAGATCTACCAGAAAATCAAACTTTAAAGTGGCCCTATTATGTTTCTGGGGTTTTCTTTTCCTATAGTGCTAAAATCACGGAGAGATTGCCTGAAACGCCTCCATTGTACTCCTTTGCTTACTTCTATAACAAAGTGACATATCTATGTTATACTTGTGCTTCTAATGGCTAGCGCTCCAAAACATTTTACGTGATTAGCTAAGGGGTGGGACATCTCTAAGAGGTTGACCATTCCCAACAGAGCCAGCCAGCTAACCAATCAGAGCAGACTGGGCTCTGGTTTCAGACAGAGGGTGTTTCTCAATGTCGAGGAAGGCTCCTCCAGAGCCACTATTTCAAGGATGCTACGTCATCGAGTCCCGTCGAAGGATTGTTCCAATGTCCAGGATCCTTGGAATTCTAACGAGGCCGGCGTCCTTCGTTGCGGGAAATTTCGAGGCTGCACATGTGTATCCTCTGTGGTCTGAAAATCCCCACAATGCTTTGCCACGGACCAATTTCCAAAATCTCTGGCAGAAAATGGCTGAATCCAGGCAGTACACATTTAAATGTAAGTATGTTCAGTGGCGTAGTAAATGTGCACATGACTTGTGTTTAAAGTGTATAGTCCGTTTGAGTTTTGCCCGTGTGAACGCAAACCGAACCTTCTGACAAACTGTCGGCTGGTGCGCACCAGAGAAGCAGACTATTAGGTTTGAATGAGACCTAAGAGCGTTTTGCACCTAAATAAATAATTAAAATGAACCTTGTTTTGACTTTGCCTCTTGTGTTGATATTCGTGGTTTATGCTACAATGTGCACCAATATGTGTAAAAAAGGTTTGCAGACATCAAGTATGATATATGAATGGAAAGGATGTACAGAAACACTTTTTTGGAAAACTATGAGAATGAAGAAAGGTGATTGAAGATGAGAAATGATTGTAATGTCTGTATAAATGTAAGTATGTAAGTAGGAATAACTTGCAGAAATGATTTAAAGGATAATCATTGATCAGCAGTAAGTAAGGGGTGGGAATTATAATTTGCTTCCTCCTGCTCCCTTCCGGACACATGATTTATTATTATTATGAATATTTTTGTTGAATATATAAATATTATTATTATGAATATTGATAAATACTGTATTCTAACAATACGGTATTCTGTTTTTCACATTTGTTATTTGTTTTTTACCTCTGTTCGAAAGAAAGATGAAAATGAAAAATGAAATACACATTGTATTATTGATTGGTGATGGTTATTTGTACTATTTCCTTATGGCTGCTTATCCTCCAGGACTTTTTTAAGGCTGCAAACAGAAGGAGAACGTTTTATGTTAGTTTAGTGGTTCTGTCCTGGAGAGATGATCATTTTACCAAATACAGTTACTCAAGTACATCTTCCATCTTCACAAATCAGTTATGAGTCTCCATTTAAGGCAGGGCCTTGCATATCACGCACACCTGCACGCCTGTTAGCCTGTTAGCCTGTTCCGACCATTCTTCGTTTTCCGAGGCTAGGAAGGATTCTTGCCTCGTTTCTGAAGGACCTGACTCGGAAGACATGTCCTATCAAGGAAGCGTCCTCGACATTGACAAACACCCAGAGGGTGAAAAGAGGTGCTGCAGCACAGGCAGTATGAGAAAAAGAAAGAGCTTTTTGAACATTAAAGCCACTAAAATAAGCTGTTAACTGACTAACCCCTCAAATAGTTTGGAGCAGGTGGCTCAAAACAACACATTGCACCATTAACAGAGGAGCAAGTGTGTATATGTATATATATATATATATATGTTGAATTGAACAGAAATAAAGAATAGTGGTTTGTGTTCAACCACTATTCAACTAAAAAGAATGAACCCTTCATTTCAGTTTGGACACCCTAACACTCATTATTACTTTACTCTGCCTTCCAAAAAATGAAAACAATTCAACATTTCCCTTTTCTATACGAGAAAGCAATATTAAAAAAAAGTGCAAACTAAATGTAATCCATGTCTAAATTATTAACTTGACTAAAATTGCAATGACTACCCAGCAACATCACTTGCTGACATTGATGATGATGATGATGATGATGATCAGGCTAGTATTTGGGAGAATTTGAATTTCATAATTTGATATCAAATATATAATAATATATATAATATATATATATATACTTTCTAGCCAATTTTCTACATCTTATCACATGTACTTATGATGCCCCTTTTCCCCCTTTAGCTACAAACGCAAATACAGTATGTTAATAATTAGTTTGTGACGGACTGTGAATTCTCAATCATCTTTATCCGTCACCTCCAGCTTCTAACAGAGGACAGGAATATGTTCTGCAGCACATCAGTGAACTGTTGCTTTAATGTGAGGAATGCAGCATAACCACAGGGACTGGCTCCAATAGGAAACACCAGACAGCTTTCCTCACAGATTACATTTCAGTGAGAGAGACTCAAAGAACAGTGTATACTACAGCATGTGCCAGTGATAACCCCAGAACCAAAGAGTATTTCCTACGCTTCTGAATGAACAGAGGAACTCAAGTGTTGAAGTCTTCCATGCAGCCTACCTGTGGGTTGTCCTCCATGACACAGCGGATCTTCTCCACCACGTCGATGCGCCGCTGTCGGTGCAAGGCGTTGATCAGCTTGGCCAGGTTGGCGTCGCTGTCCCGGATGGTCCAGTGCTGCAGCGCTGCGTACGCCCGCTCGTGGTCTGACGAGTATCCATTGGAGAAGGCAGCTACTTCCCTCTCTGTTGCGTTCGCCAGCGACTGATAGATGTCGATCCACTGGGTGCCAACGTGGGCCGCCACCAGCTTTAGGATATCCACCCCTGAGCAGAAAAGAAGAAAGAAAAGTTTGAGAACTCAAGACAAAAATTCAATAAAGAAGACTTGTGATACATTTTTTTTAACAATTGTTCAGAGATGCCAAAAGTACACACACCCTTTACTCAAGTAGAAGTACAGATACTCGTGTTTAAAAATACTCTGGTCAAAGTAGAAGTACTGACTAAACCTCTTTAGTCAGTAAACTGAAATTAAGGATTAATTATTTTTTTATTTGTGCTGTTGTATTTGTTGTAAAGTGTTTTTATTGTAAAGTATTTGTATTGTATGTAGAGCACTTTGGCTCGACCAAAAATAGTTTTAAAAATGTGCTATATAAATAAAACTTGATTTGATTTGATTAAACTTCTTTACTCAAGTAAAAGTAAAGAAGTATGGGCTTTGAAATACTTCAGTAAAACGTACCCATAACTAGCAGCTGTTTTAAAGAGTACCTGAACTGAATAGAACAATAATGTCATTGTTAGCTAATGAATGTTTCCATGCTGAACAACGGCAACATGACAACGTTTCCATTGGTCCCTCTTCTTTAGAGAAGACCAGGAAATGATGGATACACGGATTGTGTTCAAATCAATAGGCACGCAATGACTCTAAAGAATAATGATCACGCATCAAACACACATTCAAACTAAAGTAACCAGCCTGTTTGGAAAATGTGAGAAGTAGAAAGTACAGGTATTTGAGTTCAACACGTAAGAAGTAGAAAGTAAAAAGTTGTCAGAAAAACAAGTAGTGGAGTAAAGTACTGATACCAGAAAAATTTACTTAAGTACAGTAACGAAGTATTTGTACTCCACTACTTCCCACCTCTGTAATTTTTTAACAAAAAAGCAAAGAAAACAAGACAGATGATGCTGGACTTCCTGTCAATTAAAGAGTGTAGACCAGAAGTTAGGCTGCCGGTTAAGATCCAGTCGAAAACAATTCCTTTTTATCTCAATAACGGAGACCTCGTGCTTTGCCCCACACAAAAGATCATTGCTTGCTATCAATGTCAAGGTCAAGTTTCCAGGTGAAGAAGTACTTGCTTGTGAACACAGTTATATAATGTAAAGGAGCTTTTACAAGTTTGAGAGTACTACTAAAGAGATTCAGAGTATGTGAAATGTTTTCAAAATTATAGGATGGATTGACCATTCAATTAAATTCAGACATTCACGATCCCCTCAGGATGAACTGAACATCGAATTTTCATCGGACTCAGTTGTTCTTTGCATGCATGTACTGCTTATTAGAAAATCTTACTTCTAATGTTGAACTAAAAAAGATAATGGTACCACTGCATTACATTAGTTGAGCCTTACCATGCAGTGGAAATTCAGGAGGAACATGTCAACCGCTGGAGAAGTCCATGCAGAAGTCCATCCTTGATAGAAATGACTACATATTGCTTGCCTCGTCTGTTGTTGATCTAAGGCCAGTGGAACTCAGCTCAAAGATTCTACATAGGAAAACAGATCCCCCTCAACAACCACTATAAGCAACATGTCATTAATGTTGAATCTCCCTGGATCAGTGGGGGCAATCTCCTTTTATAGTGTAGACACACAACTGTAACTGCTCTCGTTAATGTTCCAAAGAAGACAAGTATGTGCTGAGCTGATGCTGCTTCTGTTAGAAAGCACGTAAGCATGGATCAATCAAGCACGCAAGCAAGTTTTACAACATTTTATATTTGGTTATCTTATGTTCACACCACTGTCTTTAAAGGAAAACCAGGTCCTGTAAACAGAGGTGACATGGACTCAGAAGTGTTGTGTTGTGTACAGAAGTTGCAGTACATGAGCGGTTAAAATACATATTGGACCTGTCAACACTTGTTATTTATCTGGTGCTCATACTTCTGAAGTGAAGAAATACAAACACCGGGGAGAGTTCAAATGACTCTTTAATAATTGTTTCATGACGGATAGAAATCTGAGGACATTGGATATCTATCTAGTCATGCTCATACGTCTACATTGAACAATTGTTACAACTGCATACTGTATGACCTTTAAAGGTCTTTCTGCTGTTATTTGCGTCCTGGCTGGGTTTATTCTCATATTTAACAAAACATAATTAAAGTGAAATCTAGGTTGTCCGAAAGACGTTCCAGCTTGTTGAGTTTTCTAATTAATTCTATTGTAGTCCTTTTCAGGTTCATATTTGTATGTTCTGCCTCTACTGTGACATGTCTCCATGCTTTAATGTTCAAAAAGCTCTTTATTTTTCTCATACTGCCTGTGCTGCAGCACCTCTTTTCACCCTCTGTCTGAAACCAGAGCCCAGTCTGCTCTGATCGGTTAGCTGGCCGGCTCTGTTGTGATTGGTCAACAGCTTAGAGATGTCCCGCCCCTTAGCCTATCAAGTACAATGTGTTGGAGTGCTAGCCAGTTGAAGCGCGAGTGTTACATAGTGATGTCACTATGTTACAGAAGTAAACAAAGGAGTACAATGGAGGCGTTTCAGGCAGGGGGGGGGGGGGGAGTGTGTGGGAGACAAACTCCCTTTGGAGGGAACACAGGAATTTTAGCCTTTGCAGACCATTGACATGCACATAAACCTATATAACATTTTACAGTAGAATCCCTACCCTTAGTGGTACTTACTTCATGCATATTTTTAGGTTACTCAGAACCACATTTCTTAACTAAGAAGTCTAATATATTAGAGAAAAACATGCATCCGATAGTGTTGTGTTTATCCAGGAAATTGATAACAGAAACTGGTGTTATCTAAAGTTAGGAACAGCTGTGTTTTTTAGAGACGCTAGATTGGTTTTGTCAACCTAGTCACAGCTGTGCACATTGTACAGAATGGCCAGAAATTATTGTTCTATTATCCCTCCTCTCATTGTGCCCCAGTACATGTGTGCATCTCAATTACCTTCACACTTCACATTCATAATCCCTCTCGTGACACACACACATCACCATTGGCGTTTATCTTTAGACATGAACAGAATGCTGATATTTGGTGAGCATCTCTCCCCTCAGACGCTGCCTGTTCAGACACTCTCTGCTCCACTTCCTCACTGACTGTTACGTGACTTGACAATAACTTGGCTGGAAATATAAATGCTGACTCATCTGTTGGTCAAGCAAAAATAAAGTACCTCAGCTGTTCTGTGAAGCAAAGGCAATGTCAATATGCATGTGTATGCATTAGCAGAGCTATTATTGAGCCCAACCCTAACCTTGCATGTAAACAGGTTTAACAGGATACACACATCGAGTCTCCATGTATCCACGTGGAACTGCTGTAATGATTATAGGCTTGTTATACATTTTGGAGATAAGATTACGATCACCTTTATAAATCCCCGAGGGAAAATTCAGTTCTTCCCTTGTTGAAGGTTCGGTTCCTTGCTCAACGGCACCTCGGTAGTGAGAGCTGACACCTCTCCAGCTACCAGTCCACACTCCATATTTTTTTCGGTCCAAACAGCACTTAAACCGACTTAAAGTCCCCACAGTTTGAGTTACCGCCGCCCAATAAAGGACTAAACAGTATTTATTATACTTGATAAAGGATGCTCATGCACGGATATTCCATGCTATGTCACTGTGAATCTGGCCCCCACCTATTTTTACAATTTGAAACTCTGCAGAGGAATGGAAGACTATCCGAATAAAAAAGCCAGATGTAAAAAGAAAACCCAATCTAGTGGAATGCAGTTTATTGCAACAGCCTTTCTATGTGACACTACATACAATTTTTTGTATAACTTTAAAAAGGGAAAACTGTGCCTTTTAATACTGTCCAATGCATTCCAACCCTTACCCGTTAGCATTTGTTTGTTGGATTAATTAGCTGAATCTTAATTGTTGTGATTATGTAAACTTCACAAATCCCCTGTTGAAGACCAATGCAGTAAACCATATTTTAAACATTGAAGGTTTATGTTCTACATGTTCTACAAACACTTCAAAGTCATCATCACCGAATGAATGTCATAACTTTTCAGAAGTATAGGTATATCCATTATTAATGTTGTCTGTAGTAAACATACTGAATGTTTAAATCCAGGATGATTCAGATAAAATAAATGGATGAAAGCCAGTGGTAGTCATTCGACACATATATATTCACATGAACATACATACTGTACATACACACAGAGAATTGCAAGCACATACAAGTCGGGAGACAAGTATAAATAGATATGTGAAGCCTACCGACATGCTTACACAGACACCCTGACATGCCACACTTCCTTTTAAATTCTCCTTTACCAACCTAATTTTAACCCCAGGGCCGTTTCTTCCTATATGCGGACTATGCGGGGTCATAGGGCCCCCGCGGCCACTAGGGGGCCCCCAAGCTGAAAGTAATTTTTTTTTTTTTTTTTTTTATTCATCTGAAAAACAAAAAAAGTTTAATTCATACACACAAAGATGAACAAAATTAGTAGAAGCGGGAGGGCTGAAGCATAGCTTGTGGAAAGTAGCCCTCCCGTGCATCATCCTAATACAGCGGCATTATTGCGTCAAAAACGTATAGAAACAAATTAACAAATTAAGAAAACAGGAGAAAAAATTAAATAAAAGTTAGGGCAGGAAAACAATAAATGCATATATATTAGGGCGTTAATAACGCGTTAACGCAAAAAATAATTAACGCCACTAATTATTTTAACGCGATTAACGCATGTGTATTTTTTGTCCTCGGCCGCCCCGTAGTTTCAGAACGCATCGAGTTTAAAATACCATCTACAAGCTGATGCTGACAGCCCCGCTCCTGCCGCTTGTGGCAGACCACACTTCCACGCTCACCGGCAGGCCCTGACTGGCCATCGGGAGGACCGGGAGGTGTATGTGCGGCGCGAGCGAGAACGCGCACACCTTACGTGTATTGTTGTTGTTGTTAGCATCTGGTGCTAGCTAGCTGCGCTAACGGATATAAGGAGCTGTTTCAATGAAAACAGAGGAGCGGCATTTCGCCGACAACTGCGCCGAGCACTTGACTTTATGCAGGCAGCCAGACAGTGGGACATTGT